GCTTTTTACAACTTACACAAGCACTAATGAATCTGCACACTATAAATACATTTACATACTTGTACAATTAAAAGTATATAGAAAGAGCAATTTAGCAAATTATAATTAAACCTAAAACTTATACTATCAGTAAAAGCTAGCATTGGTTTCGACAGCAGAATTACAGTTAGAGGGAGAGCGAAACCCACGCTCATTACAGTGAGCGAACTTTAAAAGCTCGTCTCTGCTTTGTATGGGCTGCGTACTCTCATTCTCCCTATGCTTCACGTGTACTATGTCTCTTCGTGTGAAAACAGTAAATAGATGCGTCTGCTTCTTAAGCTTTATCGCTTCTTTTAAGATAGTTGTCCCTTGTTAGCTAGTCATTGATGTATACGGGGACCGGAGACTCAAAGACTAGCATTTGGAAGTTTAGTGGCTTTTTATGTTCGCGACAGTAGGCTGCGGCTGCCTTCAGACACGTGGATTTTTCTCTCAAATTTTCGAATTTAATAATAATGTCGGGATCAACATCAGATACCTGTGTTTTCCGAGCACGAAAGATTTCGCGTATTCTCGGTGGTGGGGTGATGTGGATACCAAAGCAGAGGGTATTGTACAATGTCCGCATAATTTCACCTTCCACGTATGGTATTCTATGCATACGTATGTCGCAATATGGTCAAATCGCTCCAGCAGCACGTTGAGGATGCGCTGCTCAGCATCTCCCATATTGGTGGTGATTAGGCTGGCCTGCTCTTCAAAACGAAGATTAACCATGGCCAGTATCTTTGCTGATATGGCTTCTGACTGGCGGCCTTCTTTGAGGTCAGTGGTGGTGTTTTCGCGTGAGCGTTTGTCGGGCTGCGGTGCCATGTTGTTAGGTGTAATTTGAGTGGTTTTTACGTTGTGTTTTCTTGATGGATTTTTTGAGTGGATGGTTGAGCGCTAATGCAATTATGTTTTGTGTGACTTTCGCTGAGTGTTTACGTATTGGTGTTGTAAAGTCTGTTTGTATAGCTTTGCGCGCTTAAAAATCAATATTTTATGGTCTTTTCCTTAATGAAGCCTTTATTTATTTTAAAACAAATAATTCTTTAGGGAGCGCAATTTAATTGTGATAGCAACTGCACACGTTCAAAAAGAGTTCACCGTGAATATACAAAGTTGTATTTAACTTTACTATTTATAAACTTTCTCGGGGTGAAGGTAAAACATACCCTACAGTTGTCACTGATTGATAAACTAACAAGAACTACCTTGAGTAACAATTAAAAACGAGGCTGGTCGACAAAAAACACGGAGTGAGTTGGCTTAATATTTATTACTGCGCAGTGCAGCGGCAGTTGTAATTGAACTGAAGCTGAAACACAAAATACTAATCTAGCTAGAGCTAGAACTCAAATGCGGTTGACTACGCCGCCGTCTATGCCGCCCATGTGCTCAGCGTGTGCCTCGTGAAACGTCTCATGCTATCGCGGCGTTTGTTAGTCAACCAAGTTGCTGCCCACGTGAAATGATAAGTGCCATTAATGGTTACCTTTGGACCGTCGTTGACGCAGAACATCGCCATACGATCGTTGACGATGATTTCATCATCGGCCAGCGTACAAGACTCAAGCACAGGTATCGCAAGTTGGCAACTCGCAAAATGTTGCCACTGTCGTAGGCATGCAGTTTACTACCTCAAGAAACTTAAATCTGCGTAATCACAAAAAAGTTGTATTTATTATATTTGCATTATCATTCTTCTATTTTGTGTCAAAAGGGATTCGTATAGGTGAGCTGTATCAATTATTTAAGATTTCATTAAAATTTCATTTCGGTTTATCTGGTCTTCTGTTTTTGTATTGATGACCACCTGCCACCTGCGATAATTTTCAAGGCTGTGTCCAAAAAGTCTAAGCTTCTTGACATTCATTCGTCCAAGCCTGGAATTTAAATTTAAAGTCGTGTCAGACCAACAGGAATTTTGGTGTGCTTAGCCTCTCTTCGGGTAATGGAAGCTGCTTTGGTCACTATTTTAGGTGGTTTTTGTTGAAAACTCTGCCCTTCATTAGAAGTGTCGTTCCCAAGTGTGAAACTACCTTCCGCTCGACGCATAAGGGTGTCAGTTCGTTACCCAGTATTCTACAAGACCCACCTCGAATACTCTGTTTTGCCTGTGGTTGATCTCTCTGCTATGCAGGAGGCTTTGGGCTTTTTCTCCCCTGCCCGTCATAGCCTCCAACAACCCCGGGGCAGTGGCGTGCATTACGACTACAGTACGTTTTGTCCGTAATCGAATGTATTGTACAATTATGGTCTGCAGTGGACAGAAGTATGAGGTCGGTTGTATCGTCGATCCCCCTTTCGATTTTCAAGCACCTCGGAAACTGTGCTGTGAAAACGCTCTATGGCGCATTCTCCATAGTAACCCCAGAAGTGTTCCACCGTGTCTGATTTAAGCGACCGATAAAATAAAATTCCGGTTTAGTTGAATGCGCGCCTCCTCCAGGACAATCTGATTCCTGAAGCAAATGAGAGGGTGTTTTCTGTGGAATGACTGCTCACTGTGTATAGTGGCTGCATCTGACTCTATGCATTGAGCTGCGCCTATACCGTGCCCCGAAGCGTCGGTCGTTAGATCGAATGGGTTTTTATAGTCAGTCTGTCTGAGACCCGCCTTTGTGGACTTGCTGCTTCATCTATTTTCACTGTCACTGTGTGTAAAATCGAGCTTATGATAGCCTCGAAACTCATTAAAGTGTTAAAAGAGGCGAGCATAGCAACTGTCATTGTAAGGCGTACAAATTTTGAAGGCGCCTGACGCCAAGAAACTCGGCCATACACTTTACGCAGTGGAGGGATTCATCACAGCGGGCATCTTTGGAAGCGCTGCTGTACATTTTGTATACTCTGTGAGAGTTGGCCAATTTGGCGGTTGAGGTCCACCTTAAGGGATTCTGTTCTCTGATCATACATATGCTGTGCTGCCAAAGTAGAGGATACGGAAGCATCGATAATGACTCATTAACAACCAGCTGTGACCACCCTGGCCAGAAATATTTATTTATTATTAACTGATAAGGAAAAAATGTAATAAGAGAGAGTCATTCAATGGGGAAAAATTATATTTTTTGACTTCAAAGTTTTTTTTCCATTTACTTGCGGAATTTTTGCTGCTGCCGTTGTTGTAGTGTGTTTATGAAATTTAACAGGGTATATCAGCCCTATCTGTCTGTCTGTTCGTCCATCCATATGAACACCTGGATCTCAGATACTACTATAAGAGCTAGAGAGACCAAGATATTTTATGTGTCTTCGCTGTGAAAGATTATTTTATCAGGGGTGCCACAGAAATTTCTTCCGCCCAGTTTCGCCTCAAAACCAATTCTCGGTGCCACATAAATTTGGGATTTGGGCTTTTGGGATGTTTCAAATCTTGTTTGCTTTGCTAGGAGTTTTGATTAAAAACACTAACAAAGACATTTTTCCAAATAAAAATAATCATTGGAATATAAACTTTATAGATTTTCTGAGCAATCTGCATCAAAAATATTTTGCATATCCTACGTAAATATTATCAAATTAGCAAATTACTAAATGTATACTTAAAACACCAGCATTCACACACAGCATCCAAAACAACCGCACAATAGAGATGCCCCATTGGCCCATATAGAACATTACATTTTTCAAACATCACAATTTGTTTAGTTAAGTCTAAAGTTTTGAGTCAAACGAAAGTGAAATATATAATATATAACTGACGCAATTCTAGTTTCAAATAAGTACCACATAACTGTGTATTAATTAAATAAAATAAAATTGTATGTTGCCGATTGGACAAGTCTGTTTGTTAACGAAAATGTGAATTGTCATAAACGGCCATCTGAATATACAAAATGTATGTATGTACATTTTTGTAATTCAATTTCAAATGCCAAAACAGGACGCAATTTTAGTCCAATTTACGACGTATTTTTTGGGAGTTTTGAAAAACAATTATAGCCGAAAACCCCGGATATTTCTGTGGCACCCCTGCATATATATTTTTTATCAGGATGACAAGACGAGTCGATATAGCCATGTCCGTCGGTCTGTCCGTCCGTTAGAATAACCAAAATTGATATCCTGAGCCCAAAGCAGATCAAGTTTGTTTATTTGTTTTTGATACACCTAGCCAGGTCAAGTTGGTTTTTTTTTTATTCTGATTCACCTGCTGCATACATACACGCATATAAGCACGCAGAGAAAAAAATGTGATTTAAATGTATGCTGTTGAAACTGTAGATGAACATGTCTCCACTTTTGTATATGTATAAATTAAGAAGTTCCTGACGTTGGTGATTATTATGTTCGACCGACTAAGGATTTATTATTCAATTAACACAGTGCATTGTTGCACTAATAAAAGACAAGAGCTCGTGTATTCCGAACGGTTTAATATCCAAAAGTCAACTAACTGCAAAGAACCTTATTTCTTATAACTAAAGCTAGCCCTGTACCTCAAACATGCTGACACTGCGCCTCGTGCATAGTGTCGCATATCAGCTGCTTACATCGCGGAGCGTTGCACTCTGCAATGACGGTTTTCGTTGTGCAATATCCGCGGACGTTGCTGATCTTGCACTATTATCACGCCGGCTCTGCTGTGTCGATTTGGCAACTTCTTTGTCGCTGAGTGGTCGTGTTAACTTATATGTATTGAATAATTTTTGTTTAATTTAATTAAATAATTAAATTAATTCAAAATTTTTAAAATTAATTAAACAATTTTATTTCTTTGTTCTCTTTTTTGTGCGAGGTACAGGGTATTTAAGAGATGTGCTCGCTCGACTTTAGCATTCCTAAAAATGTAATTTTAACCAAACCAACGATATCAGCTGGTAACTCCTTATTAGGCTTACAACACATTCAGCTGTTTCAACAATCGATAATAAATAAACATAAGAACCAAATATCGTCAAAAATATCGGAGATAAAATATTTGTGTATATTGAAAAATACTTTATGAAAATTAATGATCGAAAATGAAATTTAATGTTCAATGAACATTGTTCATGCGCGAGAGATATGTATGTACGTGTGTATGCTGTTGTTTGGAAACACGTTTGTAAAATAAACCCACAAAATGGTGATGGCGGTTTTCTCGTACTAAACGTGGACGGCCAAATAATTGCACTAAACTGTGCAAAGTAGTCTAACACCTCAAAATAAATCTACAAAAAATGTAATACATGAAAAGTTGGTTTAAAAATTATTACCATGGTAAGAACCTTGCTACATGCATATGTACATACCTACCAACTTAATCATACATACATACATGCATCTTCTTAGCATCATATCCAAATGTGCATACTGGTCTCGGTAGCGATGGCTTCATTATTATACATCTTACATCGAGGTCCAAGTGTATCAGGTGTGAAAGAGTCGTCACTTTCCGGTACACCAATAACGTACGTACTGTTAAATCTGTATATGTATATGTATATACATACATATCTATTTATGTATGGAAATCGTAAAACTGTTAGTAGAGTCGAAACCATAGAGGAACAATCTAAAGTCAAAAGAATATTTAAAGTTAATACCACTGGCTCTAAAGCTTCAAAAACAGCTGTTCGCTTTGTTCTGCCAAAAAGAGTAAACTTACTCTTAGAATTAAAACATATTTATAAGGCGCTAGTACTCCTACATATGTATGTATGTATGTACATAGTAAAAGTAAACTACTACCGCTCCTACTGTAATTGGCATGACATTTTTACTATATAGCGTGTACCTAAAGGGTAAATTAATATATTAGGTTGGTGCGAATGTACATCTATGTAACACACAGAAGGAGGCGTGCAGACCCCACAAAGTATACATACATATGTATGTATGTATGTATGTATTATTGATCAGGATGACAAGACGAGTCGATAAAGCCATGTCCGCCTGTCCGTCTATATAAACGAAAGGTTCTCAGACGGAACAAGAGCTAGCATTACCAAAGTTGGTATCCAGGTTCCCCTCGGCCCTAGGCAGATCAAGTTTGTTAATTTTTTCCGAAGCACCCCCGACTCGCCCGTTATTAGTGATTTTCTATAACTTACTTGATTCTTGGAAATTCGAACACAAATTTTGTAGTTACATCCAGTTAGTGATTATGTGTATGCGTATGCCAAGTTTCATCATGATAGGTCAATTATGATAGCCATAAATGTAATCTCTGCCTAAGCTCTGTGCGCAGCTATTGTTGTTGCTCCTTTTATTCAATTCTGTATTGCACACATACATGAATGGTTTTTATACCCATTACCTGTAGGGTAAAAAGGCTATATTAGGTTAGGACCCCATAAAGTAAATATATTCTTGGTCAGCGTGACGAGAGAAATCGATATAGACATGTCCGTCCGTCTGGATGAACGCCTCGATTGCGGAAACGGCTGAACGTACATTAACCAAATTTGGTATGCAGCCGCTCCTAGTCCCTACTCTATACGATTTTTTTTTAATTTTTTGATTCTATGATTTTTATACCCTGTACCCAAAGGGTACAAGGGTATATTAGTTTTGTGCGAGTGCACATGGAACACACAGAAGGAGGCTTGGTAGACCCCACAAAGTATATATATTCTTGATCAGCATGACAAGCCGAATCGATATATCCATGTCCGTCTGTCTGTCTGTATGAACGCAAGGATCTCCGAAAGTATAAGAGCTAGAATAACCAAACTTGGTATACAGATTCTCCTGAGCCCGAGAAAGGACGAGTTTGTTCATTTTTTCTGATCCAAATGTAAATGTATGTATGCATGCATGGAATATTTAATTTAGATAATTAATTTAATTTAATTAATTAATTAATTTAATTTCTTTCTTGTGGGGTGGTACAGGGTATTTGAGAGTTGAGCCTGCTCGACTCTAGCATTCCTTTCTTGTTTTTGTATACGAAATCGTAAAGCCGGATTTTTGTAGCCTGTTCCTGAAAGGTACACGAGTACACACACTAACTTTGTTCAAATTAAAAATTTAACAGGTAGAATTAAGCGTTGCATACTCCACAAAGTATTTACATATATCAACATTTTAAAGCGTCCACGTTTTCTAAAAAGCAATTTTGCTGTAAAAAGTATAATACCAAATAGTTAATTGAAGGACATTTTTTGTTTAAATTTCTTGCAAATTGTCTGATATACTCTACCGTTTAGATACAAAAAAAATCATCCACATTGCTGTTGGCGACTGCGTAACGCTTGCAACAGCCACTGTTTTGGTTAAATTAATGCAAAAGGCGAATATCGAAATTTTTTTAGCGCCACCTCTTGGTTGTGTGAGGGAAAGGCGCAAGCAGGTCAAGAGGATAACTCCTTGCTTAACAGGGGCAGTGTCACTTTCGCCGAAAATGGCTACTTTCACCTCGCTGACCTACCGCCTCTGTAAAAAGGTTCCCGCCTAGTCCAAGGCGTCATATTCGTTCCTTTTCTGGTGATACTTGGCCGAGAGCAGATGTGTGCGCATTTTTTTTAAATCAAAGTCAAGCAAAAAATTTTAAAGTGGCTAAAAAGCGTAACAAAATTGGTTTTACTAAAAGAAAATAAAGCAAAGGTCCACGCAGCAAACCATATTTGCCAGCACAAGTGATGATATTGAGCTTAAGCGCATTGGAGGGTTTCTGAAATAGAAGGGCAGCCCGAACCCATAGCATTGGCATATGCGATAAACGGAAGCCGCCAGCAGCATTTAAATGTAAAGAAGAACATATCCAAAAGAAATCACTCATGTTTTGGATCTTATGTTCAATGCAGCAGAGCAACCGCAGGCGATCGTCCGATCCACCTGAGTGGAGCTCAGTCTTCTAACGTACGCAAAGCAGCTACCAGCGCCGTCGAATCCACGCTGCTAAATTTTACTCGCGTCTGAATTATTGGTTGATTTAGTTTTAAAAATTGATGGGTGAATCTCAGCAAAAAAAAAAACCAAATAATTCTTTTTAGTTGCTAAAACGAAATAATGGCCAGTCAGAATAAAATTTTCCATATGTTAACTTTTCGTTATATTTCTATTCTTTATATTTAAAGTTATGACTAAGTTTTTCTTTCTACTTTTAATCTTGGTTGAAACCGTTCATATTGCATTATTCCATTTTAGTAATTTTACTTTGTGTAAAGGCATAGGAAAACACATGGCCGAATTTTAATTATTATTTTATCTTGGTTCTCAAATCCCGCAGAAAAAAAAGAAAAACCCGTATCTTCGAATAGTGAAGAAGTGCGGTACAGGTTTTTTGTATGTTTTATTGAGTGTTTTCTTTTAAGTGAGTTTTTTTTATGAATACAGCAAAAAAGAATTATTTTTAAGCTTAATTATGATATCCTTTTTCGTGAAATGAAATCCCCGACCTATTCTTTTCTTTTTACCACTATTAAGAGGAAAATAATACAACAATTGTTATTTTGAGCTTACTTATAATGTTAAAATATTACCGAAATAAGTTTAATGGGCACTTTACAATGCAATATTATTTCAAAAAGTATATGTACATATATATATATATATATATATAAACGTAGTCACCTAACAAATCAGAGCACAGCAAATATTTCTGCCAGAATACACATTAAAACGAAATCACAATGAAGTACCTTTAACCAATTATCGTGCATAGTAGAAGAAACCCATATAACTTGCCCAGGAATTGAGGACTGGAGTTTTTAGTGAAAAGTGGAATGTCGTTTCTATAATTTTTTCCACCACTGTATGTATGCATGTATGGAATATTTCATATTTAATTTAATTAATTAATTTAATTAATTAAATTTTTAAAATAAATTTTTTTGTTGTGAGGTGGTACAGGGTATTTAAGAGTTGAGTCTGCTCGACTTTAGCATTCCTTTCTTGTTTTAATTTGGTTACTCCTTCATAGATCATATTTAAATACTATTTATTGTTCACATTCATAATTTCTTTTATTACCTTTTATTTATACATATATTTTAAGTATGCATACACATTTTAATTTAATTTCTATCGTTACACATATACATATATGTCATACTTTTTATACTTCGTTTTATGAACTTCCTTTTTTTGCAAAATTACTTTTTTTTAGTGAATAAATTATCTCTCTATATATATAACAGTTTGTCCTGACTGACTGATTGGCAATCAACCCACAGCCCAAACTATAAGAGCTAGGAAGCTGAAGTTTGAGCTCAAGTACGTACATCATAGTGTATGTGAGCACTAAGAAGGGATTTTTGTAAATTCGTACTCCAAGTGAGGGAAAACGAGCTCCAAAGTTTGTTTGAAAAATCCGCATTTTTCCACCAATCAACTTCAATTTATTATTAACTTTTTCAAATGAAAAGTTTGTGTTATAAATTTTGTCCGATCGATTTCAAATTTGGGTAATGTAATCTACGTAACTAAATCTACAACTTTGGATTCACGGATTTTTTAAATTATAGAAATACGGGGTTCGCATTACAAAGGCAGGCAGAACAAACAACATAAAATGCATATCACACAGTTGGGGAAAACTTAGTATACATACACACACACACATACAAGCAGCTATTCGTGTAGCTGCGTGCAAACGATTGAAATAGCCAATGCAAAATGTGAGACACTAATGTGTGAATATATGTGCACATGAATCAAGAAATATTAATTAATTAAAAACGATTTAACATTTTCAAAAGTAATTTTATTTTTGTTTAGTACATTTGGCTTTATTTATTTATTATTTAAACGCATCGTGCATTATTTAATCACAATTATAATTTTTTACATACATATGTATGTATGTACGAAATATTGAATGAAATGGACAGCAATGGACATAACGAAGAACAACGGTAACTGCAAGTCATTGGCACGCTCTTATTCTTTCGTTCACATTTTTTGATCATCCACGCCTTTTAATTGCAAAGGCAAAATGGCAAACATTTACAGTTACCGTCGATATGCAACGACGATAAGCGATAGTAAAGCAGAAACCGAATAACGGAGCTACGCATATTCTGCTTCGCATTGCGGGCAGATGTATGTATGTACAAATGTATATGACTTGTTCCAATTGATCTCAATAAATTATAAGATGTTATTATTTAGATATTCTGTTTATTGCATTCAAACTTCGATGTATCGATATCGATAGTATCGGTGGATTCAGCTATCGAAAGTTTTACTCTCGGAAATTGAGATGGGCATTGTCAGCAATGTTGCCAATTTGGTATTTTTCCCGTCCAATCAGTTTGTTTTTGAAATGAGATTGCGGGAAAATATTCCAAATGGCGGGAAGCGGGAATTCTGGCTTTTTATACACTGTACATGAAATGTACAAGAGTATACTAGGTTTGCGGGAGCTGAAAAATGTAACAGACAGAAGGCAGACCACACAAAGTATATATATTCTTGATCAACGTGACAAGACGAGTCTATCTAGCCCTGCCTGTCCGTCCGTATG